AAAAAAAAAAAAAAAAAAAAAAAAAAAAAAAAAAGTATTTTTTTAATAAATTTAGAGATACACCATACATTTTAAAGCTTTTCAAAGCCAAACTAGGTAATGGATGCGAATAAGTTACCAGTGAAATAGAACTGCTTCTCATCCCTGACAGAAATTTACTCATCATTTCTGCCAGGGACAAAAATGGCGCTTGTTCTCGAACGTACAGCTTCAAATGAACGATGGAATTAAAATTACAACAGTGTTTGAAAGATGTATAATATATTCAATAAATATGTATGTCTATTATAGAAAGACACCTTTCTGTCCTCTTTCTTTGTTTTGATTTTAGCAGTTGAGAGGCAGAGGCTGGAACTGCTACTGATGAGTCCGGTTCTTGAGTTGTGAGGCAGATTTGAAGGTTTACCGATCGTCAGAATCTGAAAAAGGGAAAAAATTTCAAAACAGTAAATACAATAATAATCACCAAAAAGAAGAACAAGAATATGACATGTTATACAATAATAATCAGGAAAAAGAAGAACAAGAATATGACTTATTATACAATAATAATCACCAAAAAGAAGAACAAGAATATGACATATTATAAGATATGCACCTGCAGCGATTTTCCATCTTCCAGTGTTTGCCTTTTGATGGCAGGGTTTTCTTGGGCAATGTTGGGAGTTCCAACTAGGCTCTTAGCATTCGTGTCCCTGAGGAAGCACAATCCAAGTCTTAGCAGAAATATAATTATGAATAGATCCTTAGTTAACCGAGTTGCATGGGCAATAATATGGTTAAAAATTACAGCATCCATTATCGTACCTTTTAACACTAGCCGGCTTTGTGCTTTTGACTTGTGATTTTGATAACTTCTTCATTGAGTTCGTGAAGGATTCTTAAGAATGCTGGCTATTCTTTTGGCTGTCTGAGTCTTCTTATCCTTGATCGGTTTTTGAGGGGCTGGCGTGGAGCAAACCTCAACAGTTTCCAAAGGGAGATAGGAGGGGGCCTTGCCTTCTACAAGGCTGATCATAACCAGAAAAGTTTACGAAAACAAAAATGTCAAATTCTATTTCCGACTTTTCCCGACTTAACCACAGCAACTTAACGACCAGACTAAAACCATATTTTTGGGATAAAATTTTCCAAGGGATTTATGGCTAAATTTTTAAGGCTCCAGTAAGTGAAAATTTACGAAAATAATTAAGGCACTATGAACTCGATTTATTCAAAATTTTTCAGAACATAAATCCATCACTCGTCAAGGCTGGAAAATACAATTTCAGAGGCTACAACAGCCCCATATTTTCGAACATGAAGGCCACAGATCACAGAACAAAACTCAACAG